AGCAATTCGAATCGTCGTATAATTCCACCGTCTGGGCCAGTGTTTGTTGGCTCACCGTCAGTGCATATTCCAATTAATGCATCCAGTGATATATTTTTATCGTTGAAAAAACCATTTAATTTGGTTGTTTTGTATTCAGCGGTTTCATGTTCCAGTCTTACGTAACCAATCAATTCAGAATTGGGTTCTCTCAAAATAACAAGATGAGGTTCTTTTACCATCCTAGTATGATACTTCTCATCAATTTTATCTATCGTTAAAGTATCATCTTTTCTGCCATCGAATGAAAACGCTAACAAATTGGTATCATCTAACCGTTTGCGAAGCACTTCTTGTCTGCATTTCTCTTTTTCTCTGCGAACTTTCGATTTATCCATGATGAGAGGTTTCCCATGCTTATCTTTAATTTTAAAATCATGCAAAAGAGCGGTTCCCAATCCTGATGCTACTCTGTCAGGCACACCAAATCTGTCACATACCAAGGCAAAGTTAAAACAATCGTATCTCTCTGTGTATTGTGAACTTGTGCTTCTATCCATATCTTCTTGAACCGGTGGCGGTGCGTATGTTGAATCATCAGGATCTTGGTATGTTGGCATTGATGACATAGACGTTGCTCCTTGCTCTTCAGTTTCCATCACAAATGCATCCATTGTTAGTCTTCTCTGATTATGTTGATCGTGCATGAACTCTTTGAGGCGTTCGGGAACCCAGCCGCATGCACATGGAGCTGCCTTCAAATCGCATTTACATGTTCCAATGTAAAAAATTGTTTCCAGAGATTTTACATACTCTGTAAATTGTTGGGTGTTGTTTCTTCTCTTGATTTGCTCTTGATACTTGTCAAGCAATTTATTCAATTTATTAAATACACTTTTTTTCAGCATTATTTCCATACCAAGTTTTTCCCAAATTCCAATCAACTTATCTTGTACTTGAATAGTGAATGATTTATGGGAAAACTTTTTTTTTGTTCTGTTTTAGCATGTTCGCTTAAGTAAAAATAATATCTCAAGATATCCAGATGGGTTGGTAAATTAAGATCAGTTAAATCAGTAGACACACCAAAAACAGTAACATCATGCTTGGGTATATGACTCATTGGGTTTTCGATAGTTGTTGATGTAGTTGCTTCATCTTGCGGTGTAGAGGATGGTGGATTCATTGTAAACTTTTTGATTTGGAATGGTCACTTCACTTATTATTTTTTTTGAAATATTTTTTTATCTGAAATTAGCACTTCACACTTTGAGTTCTTCACAACGACTTAATGCATTCACAAAAACTGTTGCGTTATATAGTGATACAGTGATACCTTCATTGTTTAAAAGGGTTGCGGTGCATTCCAGTGATACCTTAATTGTTAAAATGGTGGCAAAAAACGCGCATTTCTTAAGAAGGTGCCTTAAAATACCCACAAAAAGGGTTGTAAAAACAACCTTCATTTCTTAAGTAGGTGCTATAAAAAAACTACACAAGTAAGTTTACGATATGCAGCTGTGTCTTAAAAAACGCACACAAGCAATTTTCCGATTTGCAATTGTGTCACAGTGATACCGTCATTTTTTAAAACGGTTGAATAAAAAACCCACACAACAATGTTTACGACATGCAAATGCATCACAGTGATGCCTTGGTTTTAAAAGGGTTGTAAAAACGCTAATTTCTAATAATTTTTTTTAATTTCTTTTCTATTACTAAGTTAAATTCATTTTTTCATTTACATATGTTCTGACTAAATAAATTTCTAAAGAGAAAAATAAACTCCAAAAAGAAAAAACATAGGCATTTCGCTGATTTTTTCATGTAAAGTGCAAAACCGGCGATTTTTTGAAATGTTTGTATGGTGAACCCCCAGGGGGTTCCAGGGGGTGTGCCACTGGCATCGGTGGGTCGGGCCTCCAAAGTTAGTGGGGGTCGGTCATACATTTGGACTCGATTGGAGCACTCTAAATGGGTCAAAGTGGGATTTTTCAAAATTTGCCCCTACCCAAAAGTTCGAACCAAATTGGGGGACATCAGAATTCGTTTTAGAGGTATGGTTCCTTCGGCAAAGTTTCTTATTTTGGATCCCTAGAATATGATTTTCACAGAGCAATGGGCGATTTTTTTGCCTCCCCACAAATCGACCCGGCCTAATATATATATATATATGTATACATGCATGCAAACTTTGATGGAGCAGGAGGAAAGCAGGGAGTTTTATGTGGTGTGCTGTGAATAATTGTGGTGTGGTTGTTTGTTTCGGTTATTTATACATAAGTTTTAATAGGCAAATTAAGAAAATAATAATAACAATATTCTCTTTACTACGCCAAAATATTAAAATTTTGCTCGCACTATATTTTGGTAACCCACTATAAAATTACGAAGCCAGGTGTAACAACAAAAAAGGAGGCGGAAAGCGCGCTCATTTGGATAAAAAATAGACACAAAATTAGCAGATCAGAATTAATCAATGAGCAACTTAGAGTTTGAGTGAGAAAACATGAAAGGTAAACATATGGAAAAGTATGAATTTATGTTGAGACAGGTTAGGTCACTAATGTTCACTCACCACATGGTACTTAGGAGAAAAAAACTGCTTATTTAACATTGTTATGCACATAAGTTTGTACACCTTTTGATGTGACAAACAAATGTAAATGTGAAAGGTAAGTCGAAAAAAAACGAAGGAAATCGGGTTATTACTTATTATGAATTCAACTTCAAATTAAAATTTTGGTTTTACTTCTATTTAGATAAAAGAGCAATAACTAAGGGTAAGTATAAATGGTAAGTGTAGCTGGTAGATATAAATGGTAAGTATTTTATAATGTCATATATGTAGATACTATTAACTCTTTTTTTTCTTTTAGGTGCAATCACTGTCTTCTTTTGTTAATTTTCTTTTTAATTTTGAACTGCAGGCTGAACTTGGAAAGTGGGGAAAAAATCATGTTGGAAGCTAGAGTTTTTTTTTTAGCTATTATGTACTTCGCATAGAATCACTTTGTTTAGGCATGAATTTAAACGGATTTGGCGATGAAGAAAGAAACACTTATCTTCCTTCAGGTCAATTGGCGGGCCTATATTTGATGGTACTTATGCAAAATTTTCCGATTGAAAGGCAGGATATCCTGTCGACTGCTAGCGATGATTAAGTGATTGTTATACGCTGGCGGCCAGGTTTAGGTAGAAGCGGATCTTTTCCTTACTACACTTTTAATATGGTGATTCACAGCTAGATCCACACAAAGATGTAGCTTGCCAAATTAGTGTACGCGGAATGTAATGATGTATTAATTTCTGCAAAACATGATTTTTAGTTCGCTTGGAAAGTTTTCTTATATGAATATATGTACATATCGGGACTCGACAAAGA